TGATATCTCTCATAATGAACTAACCCCGATATCAAGAACGTTTAGATATCACTTGTTGAGATATCGGTCATATAATTAAAGACTAAAAATATTGACAATATGAAATTTAATGGATCACAGAACAATCAAGAAAAGTGTGGAATATGAGAATTTATTATACCAAGAAACATACAATTATCTTACAAGATTTGATCCTCTCAATCTAATCTAAACAATTCTCTCTTGTTTCTAATGTATATAACAATGATCTAATTGTTATAATCTCTCTTGAGTCTTTCATTTTCACCCTCATGAAGTGCATATACCTTGTGCAGTATTTATAGAAGCTAAATCTCGAAGTTGTGGAGTCCAAGATGAAGAAGAAGTCCTAAAATCCGTATAAGACGAGAAACCCGTGATCAAGTTATTGTTACAGCGCCAAGGCGCTCGCTAGGTGCAACGCCTGGGTGCTTCATTGCAGCACTTGGGCGCTACGCGCTTGGGCGCTAGGTTTCGGGTTAACATTCCAAAACATATTTTTTGCCATCTAATAGTCCACTTTCAAGCCAAACTCCTAATTATTATTGAAATTTGATTTCCACAACTTAGCACTCTACAAACCCAAGTACCTTAAACTTTCTCCAATAAACCGAATCCCAAATCAAATGGAATCCAATCTACCAAGACTTCTAAATTAAGATTAAACAAGCTTCCTTTATTCAACAAACATCTAAATCACATAGAATTTAACAATATTATTGGCTTAGATTTATTCTATGGGAAATTGTCATTGAAAACTTAAGAGTCTCCAAAAAATTTCTCTAATAATGTCCCAGGTGAAAACAATGAGCCTCTACTCAATTTCTCAACTGGGAAGACATCCAAGTTCCCATTTTTCAGCCCGGCTCCACTGCCTAGTGCATTCAAGAATTCTCCTGCACCATCAACAGCTAAGCATATTAAGGCCTTGCTTGCGCGGCGACATGGCTTTGCCCACTATACATAAAGGGAGTGAGTATGAGAGTATTGAGTTGGACAAGAATTTTGGGTTCTTCAATAATTTCATCAACCACTTTGAGCTTTGGGAAAGAGAGTGGGGGCAGGGATAGGGTTTGGAGAAGATGAAATATTTTTTTTGTCATTTTTATTTTATTGATTAATTTAAGATTAAATTGCAGCATTGGTATCAAACATTTCATTAAGTAGCAGACTTTGCCCATACTTTTTATTTGTGTCATCTACGGTATCAAACCTTTCAAAATATCGTAGTTGGAGTTCACGTAGATAAAAACTGTTAGTGTGACTGTTAATTGACCAAAAATCAAAAGTTTGACTAAATGTTGACTAATTTTGGAAGGTTAAAATGTAATTTTATATTTTACATATAAAATAATTAAAATAAAAGAATTAAATCAAAAATGAAGAAGAAGAAGAAGAAAATACTGTTCATTTTCTTCCCCCTACCCCCCAAACCAAAAATAAAAAACCACCACCTCCACTGTTCCCCCGCTACACACCTAAAAATCAAAACTTAAAAATAAATACTAACTCGTTAAATGTACCGATCGGAACTTTCTTCTGAGTAACTGTACAAATATAGTGTGCTTAATGGATATTATTAAGAAAATAATGTATTTTAAATAGTGATATGATAGGAAATATGTTGTTAAAAAGTAAGAAAAAGTTATTGACGTGATAGAAAATATTATTTTATTGAAGAATGTGTGGTTGAAAATGAGTAAAAGAATGAGAATGAAAAAAATAATGTGGCTCAAACAGGGCTTAAATGTTTTCTGTAATGGTATACGA